TATATATATATATATATATATATATATTATATAAAGAAGAAATATATAATAACACATATTACAAAAGTGATTGGTACAAACAAAACAATAGAAACAGGTAAAAAAAAATACAATAAAATCGGATTACAAACCTTAAATAATCGGATTGGACCTTCAACCATAAACATTCTGAAACTCCAAACTGATCGATGTGATAATGGTATTGTTGACGGTATATTTAGAGGACATTAACATCATTTTATAGTTTGGAATTTTTTAGTTGAAACAATTAATGTTCAATAAATCATAAATTGTTATTTTGTTTATGCTTATTTACGAAAGGTATATATATATATATATATATTGTATTTATTTTCAGTTATATTAACGAAAAGGAATAAATTTGTATTTAACATATTCCATGCTATACAAATAAAAATGTTTTTATTCTTACTCTGATTTTATTATTCTTTTTTCTATTTTTAGAAGTTTCAAAAAAATATTTTCTATTAAATTAAATGTAATTTTTGTTTCATATTCTCATTAATAATGACATGTGTCATCCTCCCGTGAAAAGAAAACACTTTTATATATACGATATCTTTATTTTGCATATTCAAATTCTATCGATATTTATTTCTATTACTCTTATATTAATTTTCTAGAGTATTTATATTCATAAATATTAAACCGGTGTGTATATATATATTCAGAATAAATTGTTTTGGTTTAAATTACTGTAGGTCGAGATAATAGAATCAAATTTAATATTATAAACTAAATCATTTATTATGTTATTATAAAATATTTTATCTTAAAAATATGTTATGTAGCATTAATATCCACACCTTTCTCATTAATTTGTCTACATGAAATTTTTGGGATATGAATTTAAGAGTTTGATAATGAGTTACGCTTTACTTCAATCTGCGTTAACTCCTAACACTAACTTCTTGCATTAAATATGTATAAATACATTGATTAAAAAAAATGGGACACGTATACAGCTCCCTTACTTTTTCCATGAGGTTTGGTCGATATGTTCTATGCGTAGAGAGAACACGTACTTTATTTCATTTTAGGGCTCCACGCGCCCAGCCTCCATTGACCATAACATAAATGCAATACATATATTTCACCATTTAGCTACGATTTCTTGGGTGAAAAATTTTGTAAGAACACGTACTCTGTCCTAATTTGTACAAATATCAAAACAATTATTTTTAATTTCTTCAATTCATTAGTTTAAAAAAAATACTGGATGTTAAAAAGATTTACGTGTCAGTAAGTTTTGAAACAGAAAATTTATGATATATTATTATCTTATTATAGATCATTATATAATTCGTTTATTATCTTTCCATATACCATTCAATCCTCTAGTTTTGAAATTGGTAGCAAATTTTAATTATAGAGAAAAAAAAGACATAAATTTAACTACAGAGACAAATAACAATTTTAGTACGTAGTTTTAATGGATAATCTTTTTATTATATTGCTAAATAAATAACAAATCAAAGGAAACCCGACGTAAAAATATTTCAGACCACGCCTGAAATTAGATACTGAAATTAAAACTACAAATTCATATGACAAAGAAATAAAATGATCTCATATATAATTAAAACAAAAGAACTGCCATTTTAATATAGATATATAACTTATATTATACGTTACATCACAGTTTAAAAATTTCTACTATTTTAAGTATATAAATTTGCTGAAAATATAAAATGTTATAAATCATATAAGAGCACAGTTTTTTGGTGTCAGACTGACATCGCCAATTACCCGCCACACGTCTCCTCTTCTTTGCTCGCTGTCTGTTCTCTGCATGTTCACAACTTTGCTCTCGCAATTTCCCATCGTCAGATTTCGCGCAATTCTCCTCGTGAAGCTTCTCTTCAATGGAGGCCAGGAGCTGGGTTGCTGCGATGAACCTTAATTTCTCATCTTTTCACCTCTCTCGGCCTCCTGTCCCTGTCGCTCGCCTCCTAAACCCCTCTTTCCGACCAGAGAAACTAGGGTTCCGATCCAATTCTAGATCAAGCGAAGCTTCCTCATCCAGACAAGTGACATGTGTCTCGAAAGACAACGCGGAGAACGTGAATGCCGTCTCTGTGAAGCCGGTCTACGTTCCGACACCGAGCAATCGCGAGCTCAGGACACCTCATAGCGGGTGTGTAATTTCACTTCATTTTCTGTCGATCATTTGATTCTAAATCGTGTTTGTGTTTCTGGGTTTTTGCCGTTGAATCGGAGATTCGGCAACTTGTGTGTCGTTGCTACGTTTACGGTGTGTTTTGAACCTTTTTTTTTTGGAATTCGATGTTTAGCTCCTACAAATAGGAATTTGAGTTCTTGAGATTTGCAACATAGTGGTTAAAACTAGTCATTCTGGTTGTCTCTTAACCAAAACCAGGTACCATTTTGATGGAACGACCCGTAAATTCTTCGAGGGATGGTATTTCAAAGTCTCGATACCGGAGAGGAAGCAGAGCTTTTGCTTTATGTATTCTGTGGAGAATCCAGCATTTCCAAAGAAATTATCGCCATTGGATATGGCTCTGTATGGACCCAGATTCACCGGAGTTGGGGCTCAGATTCTTGGTGCTTATGACAAATACATATGCCAATACACGCAAGAGTCTCAGAACTTCTGGGGAGGTGAATTCTCTGTTTTTTTTAGTCTTTGATTTGCATGAATGCACAGCTTGATTAACCTAACATAACATTTACTGATGCATAGATAGGCATGAGCTAGTTTTGGGAAACACGTTCGCAGCTGTGGAAGGTGCAAGGCCTCCAAGTAAGGAGGTTCCTCCAGAGGTTGACCCAAAGCTGTATTATCTTCTGTGTTAAAAGTATACTCATTTATTTGAAGGTGTTCCTTTTTTATAATCAATCTCGTTGGACTTACTAAATCATAGTTGGGTGTAGGAATTCAACAAAAGGGTGTCGGAAGGGTTTCAAGTTACTCCACTCTGGCATCAAGGTTATATTTGCGACGATGGCAGGTATCAGCTTTGTTTCTCGTTGGAGATTGTAATCTGAAAGTTCATCTTTTTCTGGTGAAAATTCTGTACAATTCTGAATTTCCTACTTTTTCTGTAGTTTAGGACTGAACCCAAATTCGTGAGTGTGAGTAAACATATTGTTTAAATTTCAGGTGAACAATAGTTTAGCTAGTATTTTGATGTGGTTGATTTTATGGATAGATAACTCAGCATGCAGATTTTTTAGTTAGCTAAAATGACCAAGCTTTCATCAGAAACTAATCTTGAACATGAGCTCGATCTGCATGCAGGCTACACAGGAAGATATGGATTCATGTTGCAATAAGTGTTTTGACAGAATGATATTTATTAAATTGGCACAATATATGAAGTTCTGGAATCAGATCTTTTTGTCTGGATTCGTTTTCTGCCTGAATTGACTTTGTATTTGCAGGACAAACTATTTGGAAACAGTTAAATCCGCTCGCTGGGAGTATAGTACTCGTCCTGTCTATGGTTGGGGTAATGTCGGGTCTAAACAGAAGTCCACTGCAGGATGGCTTGCAGCTTTTCCTGTATTTGAACCTCATTGGCAGATATGCATGGCTGGAGGCCTATCAACAGGTATAAGCTTACTTGTTCGATCATTTTATTGGGAACTAATTCCTTATGCTTAATCTTATTCGCCCCTTCTCTTCATCGGGAGTCAAACTAACAGGGACAATGATAAAATAAGAAACGAGTTTCTGCAGAAAATCATCTGCTTGCCCTTTTTCCATATCTTATCGAGATTGCGTATACACCAGAGATTAATGTTTGGTCTCCCTTGTTATGTAGGATGGATTGAATGGGATGGTGAAAGGTTCGAATTTGAAGATGCACCATCTTATTCAGAAAAGAACTGGGGTGGAGGTTTCCCTAGAAAATGGTTTTGGGTAAATATGTTTGTACTTTTTGAACATTCCCGTGCTACAAACTTTGGGCATTTCGTTTGATTTCATTCACACACATGATGTATACATACATGTTTATGCGTATACTTAACTTGTGAAATTGTAAATTTCGGTAGCTTTATTAGGTCTCTCATTGCAGGTCCAATGTAATGTCTTTGAAGGAGCAGATGGAGAAGTTGCTTTCACTGCAGCTGGTGGGTTGAGGCAATTGCCCGGATTGACTGAGACCTTTGAAAATGCTGCTCTTGTAAGTACAGTTTATTCGGTGATGAGCTCTGTGAATAGTAATATCGAAAACTGTAATACATCGGTCTTTGGTCATTGTTTGCCCTTTCCTGTCATGGCTTGGAAAGAAGAAACCGGTGCTTACTGTAAAAAGATGTAATCAATGTATTATGGCAACAATCTTGTGACTTGAAATGTATATAAATGGTGCAGATTGGTGTACACTATGATGGAATCTTCTATGAGTTTGTTCCATGGAATGGTGTTCTGAAATGGGAAATGACTCCATGGGGATATTGGTACATGACAGCAGAGAACGAGACCCATGTGGTAAATAATCTTTCCTTTCATTTCATTTCATGTACTCTCACTTGCATATAGCAATGGTTTTATCTCCCCGCCCGAAATAAGAGTTTCATGACATCTTTTGCCCTTCTCCGAGATTCTCACCTCGTCGGTTCATACCTAATAATATGGTGGGTGGACACGGGTCGACCACCTGGAACTTTTTAGGGTTCCAGTCTTAGCCTCGTCGTCACCATGGGGGCATTTTATTTCGATGTTGGCTTCACGAGGTCCGGGTACCCGTACGCTGAGTATCCTCGCTGAAGTCGGGTACCCATGACCATGAGTACCCGAAGCCGTGAAAATTTTCTCAATTCCATTGACTCTAGTGATATTTGGTAATTTTATACGAAAATACACCTAGTATTTATTGTAAATACATTAAAGTATCAGTGATATAAGCATCATTTTATTCTTGCTTGGTATCCACGGGTAACCCGTCCCATCCTAGTTCGGAAAAACCCGAACCAGGTTTTTGGCCTCATCACCTTCGTCTTTAGCTTTGTTTGTAATCAGGTACGCACATCTCGGGTACCCAGAAACCCGCGGGTCTCGGGTATACATGCTCAACCCTACCTAATAATATCGTTTTTATCTTGAAACAGGTTGAAGTAGAGGCACGGACAAACGAAGCGGGCACACCTCTACGGGCTCCTACCATGGAGTCTGGACTTGCTCCTGCTTGTAGGGATTCCTGTTATGGTGAACTGAGGTTGCAGTTATGGGAGCGGCGGTACGATGGAAGTAAAGGCAAGGTAAGCACTTATAAAATACACGCCTCTATCCCCTTTAAATTTTGATTCCCCTAAAACTCTTGCGTTTTGAAGTTCTTGATGCCTAGAATTTAGTGTTGGCTTGTTTGTTGGTTGAAATGTAAATGGCCCGTTTTGGAGACATGAAAACGAATGTCAGGGTGGGGGTGCGGGTCGGGTATCCGAGTTTTCTGGAGTACTTGACCTCGGCCTTGCCTCGGCTAGAGCATCTAGCATTGGCCACGTGAGGGCTCAGGTTACCACGGATATAGGTACCCGACTGATGAAACCTGCTCAAACCCATGGCTCGGGTCCTCGTCAGCGAAAGACCCGATCTCTCCCCGGGATCTCGGAGTTCGGGTACCCACGCCTAACCCTAGTTTCGGATGACGGGGTATATGCAGGGGATATTGGACGTGAGGAGCTCGATGGCGGCGGTGGAGATAGGAGGAGGGCCTTGGTTCAATTCTTGGAAAGGAGAGACCGACAACACTCCGCCCTTCCTCAAAAACGCTCTCCAGTTTCCCCTCGACCTCGACTCCGTTTTCGGTTTGGCTCCTCCGCTCAAACCACCTGGTCTCTAACACTGTAACTGTTTAGCTTTTGGTTTAGTTAAATTTATTTTCAAAAGAATTTACATAAAACATTGACGAATCTACGGTTATTAGAACGTTGCAATATTCAGTATTGGGAGATAGTATCCAAAATACCTATATTTAGACTTTTTATTGGTTATATCATTCTATCGTTATACAATTATATAACTCTAACTGTAGACTTGACCGAATATTATCAACTGCAACGATCTTTTGGGCATTTGTGAATTTTAAAATTGGGTTATGAAATTGTTATAGAAGAATGGTTTAGTAATTAGAGAAATTGACAAAATAATAGAAAAGGAAAAAAAAAAGCAAAGTGGGGAAATCATCATTAAACTCGCCGCTCCCCCTTCCCTTAAAAATGGGCTTTCCCTGTCTTGTCCGTTCTACTTTCAAATATATTAAAAAACTGTCGTAATTATCAAAAATATTAAAAATATTTCGAATTCTCGTCGCTATTCTCAAATCCAAATCGAATTTTAAAAATTTGAGTATGTCGTATTATCATAATATCGGATACATTAAAAACATATAGATTTATAATTAAAAGCCATTTAGAACATTGATCTAAATAAAAGGGCATATTTTTTTACCAATGCACGTACGATCACTTATAGTGAAAACGCACGCACGCACGCATATAGTGGGAGACAAAAGACAAATATATATATACATATAAGTTCCCTTATATCAGTATAAAAGTTCCATTATATCGATCCGATTTGCTTTCTCCGCAACATCATCATTCGTAAGCATTATGGCTCCCCCATCATGGGATGAGCGTTTCGGTTCCAAACCGTACCAAATCGAAAAATTAATTATATATATATATATATATATATATTTCAAAGTCTAACTGATTAATCCAATTAAAAGCGAGATTTTTCTTTTACAAAAACGAATGTTGTATTACGGAAATGAATAAAAAAATTTTTATAAAAGAAACAATAAATATAACACAATTTCATATGCAGTAATAGTATTAGTTAATGCGATGGGGTTTGTAATCTATTATAGGTGCTCGAATAAAGATGCCATAAATGATGGGATAAAATCATGATTACTACAAATATTGTTTTTCCATTGAGTATATTTTATTATTATAATAAAGTGAGAGGGCACATTCATGTAATTATATATAACTATTTTTGTGGAAATTAATGATGAAGGAGAGTGAGTGTTCCTCGTCGTGCAAAATGGACAGAGCAGTTTTGTGGCCGAAGCTTGAGAACATAGAGGAGGAGGAGGAAGGGGAAATGGGTACTATGCCTTGTAACACGACCACCTCCTCGGAGGCGCGTGGGTCAAACGCGCCGCCGCATGAACCGGAGACTCCGACGGAGATGATGGAGTTTCTGGGGAGATCGTGGAGTGTCTCCGCCGTGGAAATTTCTAAAGCTCTCTTCAACAACAACGACAATGGAGTTCATCGTCTTCACAGCTCTCTTCTTGTTGCTACTTACAACGAAGATGAAGATGATGATGACGAAGAAGAAGAAGATTCCATTTCCATGGCTTCTTCTCGTGACTCTGTAAGCCGATCTCTCTCTCTCTCTCTCTCTCTCTCTCTCTACGGAAGAAGAAAGATAGTGATGAAAAAAAAAACTAAATATTCGAAAGAAAACATGTTACAATTTTTTTATTGCAATGCGATCTCAATATTTGTACTTGTTGGTCCATTTCATTAGCATAGAAAATTACAGCTTTTTCCTTTTTTTAAAAAAGAAAAGTGAATAAAATTGTATGAATTACGACAAAATAAATGGTATCGTATTGTTATTACTCGTTTATCAAATAAAGATGGGTCGATGCATGTATTTTTTTTACAAGTTTATATAATAAAAAATTTTAATTTCACTAATCATTACAGCTGCTTCCACATCTGCAACTGCAAGGCAAAAGTAGTCCAATTTCTCCAAGAACCGGCAGAGAAATGAAGGTACCGATTATAAACCGGCTTTTTGCCGGTTTTCTGTTCTAAACCGGAAATATCCATAGGAAACCGACATTAAACCAACCAAATCAATCTCGGTTTACTGAAATTACGGGAGAAGAAAAAATATCATTCTAATTCTCGTGATATATTATATGCACACACAAAAAATTTGGCCCCATAATGCTAACGAATTTTAAACTTCTGACCACTATTTTAACCATAAAAATAATCGGAAACAAAATAATTATAAATATTAATAGCACAAACTTCAAAAATTGCATTTTGATTTCATTTTCATTTAATATATTTCAGCATTTGTACAAGTCCGTGGTAAGAGGAAGAACAGTGGGACGAAGGTTGAAGGACCAAAAAGAGAAGAAGAAACAAGAAACTCGAACGCGAAACGCCCAGATCCATGCCGCGGTCTCTGTCGCAGCAGTAGCGGCCGCTGTGGCCGCAAACGCAAACGCCAAGGCCATAGAAGTGGAAGCAAGTGTTAACGGCCATGCCACATCGGCGGCGAATTCAACGGTCGCGTTTGCGTCGGCCTCCGCACTCGTGGCATCTCACTGCATCGAGATGGCGGAAGACGTAGGGGCAGACTATAACCAAATAGTTAACGCCGTTAACTCATCAATAAACGCCAGGACTAACGGAGATATCATGGCGTTAACTGCAACTGCTGCTACAGGTTCTGTTCTTCATCATCTAGACCCTTAAAACATATCTGTTTCGACTAAATCCGAGGTTCTGTAATGATTCAGCGTTGCGAGGAGCTGAGATCCTAAGAGCAAGACTGCAGAAATTCTACGGGACGACAATGTTTTGTCCAAATAATGGAACCAGGCAAGGCAAAGAGCTGTACACTTATACAGCATTGAACTTTGTATCTAGAGGAGAAGATCTTCTCAAACGTACCCGAAAAGGTGTGTGTATATATATATATGTATGTATGGTATATACTATGTATATATGGATTTCCGGGTTTGACTCGGCTTTCCGAGCAAGTATAAGGATGTTCATGAAATCAAAGCTTGAAATTTTGGTGGCAGGAGATCTTCATTGGAAGGAAGTATCTTTCAACATCAACTCGAATTGGCAAGTAAGCCCTTTCGTAACATCCCGAACCAAGAAACGTTCGCTTTCTTACCGATTCCTGAGGACGAATATTTTCGACGTCGGATTTTTTCTTGACTTGAAACAGGTTGTGATCAAAATGAAGAGCAAACATGTTGGAGGGACCTTCACAAAGAAGAAGAAATGTAAGCTGCAAACAGATTCTGTAAACAAAAACGAACCGTTCAAAGGCTCACCTGTTAACGAAAGTAACGGCCTTTTCTTTTGGCGTAGGTGTTGTCAATGGAATATGTCGAGATATCCCCAAGTGGCCCGAGAGAGGACAAGAACAGAACGTTGAGCGAAAAGCCTATTTCGGGATAAAGACGGCTGAAAGAGTGATCGAATTTGAGTGTGGGAGCAAAAACGAGAAGCAAATGTGGGTTCAGGGGATCCAACAGTTGCTGAACTCTCTTGAAAAGTTTGCTTAATGGTTTTTGTGAGTACAATGGGTTCATGAAAGAACCCGTGTGGTTGGAGTAACAATAACACATATCACATACTTGGTGGAAGGTGATTTTAAAAAGAGTAAACTTGTTTCATAATAATTATTTTATAATAAGATGACTATTCAATAATGTTTATCGGTCTTCAATCTTGATATACAGTAAATGAAAATAATGAGGCACATAATTTCCTAAAGATATGCAGACTTCAAAAGGGTAAGCAACAGATCAATCTCGAGATCTTCAACGTAAGAAAAGAAATTGTGACATCCATTTGTGTCAAATATCAATTTTGTATTGCTGCCAAGTCTAATAAAAACTTCACAGTAATCAAAACAAACAGTTTTGTATGTGATGAAAAAACGTTGTGTCGTTCTTAAATGAAGCAAATGAACGCCATGATGTTTATGTTGCATAAACACGACAGAGCAACCAAGCGCGCAAAGGCTAGCTCGTAGCTCCTCTAATCTAGTGTAGTGTTCCTCTGCCGCCGAGGAAATTCCCGTTTTCCTCCCGTGAGTGATCATGTGGTCTTCATCTCGCAAGCCTTCGCAGCCTCAATCTAAGGTATCATCTTCGATTTCTCATTTTCTGTTTGGCTCCCGAGAAAGTGTATGACAAATTCCTTGTAGCAACTGAGAAAGTTCCGTCTAAGAACTGAGAAGAACGAAGGAAAAAGAAATGAAACTGGAGCTGTCGAAAGTGTGAAGTAGCTCAAATTCATTAGAGGACATTCCAAATTCGTTCATAGGTTATCGATAATTTTTCATGGGTACTCAAGAATTCTTCATGCTTTTTTTTTTCCGCGTCGAAGTTGTGTGTTGGGGTTAAACCAATTTGATCATTTTTGTTGAAAGATCGAAACTTTAGAGTAATAGAAATCAGTCATTCGCTGCCTTGAGAGATGAGTGGTGTCAATTCAATCAACTGGCTCACTCTATACTTTCCGAACCAGAATTCTTCTTCAGTTGCAGAAACTGTATCATGGTCCCTAACTATGTTCTTCTTTGTGTTACATGATCATGTATGTGTTTTTGGGTGAATTTGGAAGATCAGAAACAAGAGAGGGAGTGGATTGGTGGGAGTTTTAAGGCAGAGAATTTCATACCGGGGATTGTGATAGGTTTCATCCTTGGTATGTTGTTAGATTTGTCCAAACAAGTGAAATCCCCCATTGGAAAGAGTCGGCTTTTATCGAGCAAAACCCAGAAGCAGAGCACTGTGTCAAGCAATGGTAGTGACCAAGAGCTTAAAATGGTTCGTCCATCGTACTTCTCTTACTGTGATGAATCTTTTACTTTCACCGGATTCAGTCATTGCTCCCTTGTTTACTGTTCCTTTTTTGGTTCAGTTCAAATTAAGGAATTCTCTATCTCTCTCTCTCTCTCTCTAACATACTTTCATATCACATAGTAATTAACCAACATGAGTCCTTTTTCATGTTACAAAGTGCCCTTGCACCTATTTCTACTCCGATCCCATCAAAAGAGAACCTTTGTGTGATTCATGATATTTGACATATAGAGATGGTGATACATGAATAAGCGTTTTATATTAACTTTTTCCGACTTTCCTGGTAGCAGGTTCTGGTAGTAAGGCAAGACTTGAAGATGAGAGCAGGCAAAATCGCCTCACAGTGTGCACGTAAGAGCCCAAAGAACTGTATCTGATAGACAATTGAACTGTATCCGATAGACAATTGATTCATGCTAAATCGCCTCACAGGTTCTGGTAGTTTTTGGTTGATTTTACATGTTGTTTTAAATTTTCATCTCCAATTTGCAGACGCTGCAACTGGCATGTATGCAGAGTTGATGCAAAGGTGAAACTCCCCTATGGTGATTAGAACCTCGTAAGTTTCGATCATTCCAGAATTTATTTGTATATTTGTATGTGATTGTTGTTTCAGTGATCGATACCTCTTGAGACGGTGGGAGCAATGCGGGCAACCAAAGATAGTCGTCACTTGCAAAAATCAACAAGAAATGTAAGCAGGTGATCTCTTTGGGAAAACAAACAAAATGCACATAAAGATAACTTTGTTTCTTCCATTTGTCTTGGCGTTCTTCTTCTTCTGGTCCCGTGCTTGAATTGAGAGATACAGTTCTATCTGCTTTCAGGAATAGAATCATTGAATCAGCCGAGAATGTCGGCCTCCCGACTTTTGTTGTCGCTGATGCTGGAAGAACACAGGTAACCGGCGAAATCTTAGTTCTTTTTCATGATTACTAAGAGCTTTTTAATTGGAAGTTTTTAGCTTATTGGATCTTCTTTTTTGTGGGGAAAAGAGTTGTGACCCGAACCTGAACTTCTTGATTCAGATATGTATGAACATCTAGAATCTTGTCAAATATATCCAAAAAATCATTTCATTAGTAAGTTATAAATAACCAGTAAATTAAGAACCCTCTATAAAGTCGAAACATTGCTATTAGTGGGATCAAGGAAAAAAGGTTATCCTGATTCAGATTCTGATTCAGAAAAAGTCTTATCCTGATTCAGAAAGAATCTTGCTCATCCCTTTCTAGCGTCAATCTTGTGCCAAGATCCCTTTTTTTTTCTCTGATAATGAATGTTGCATGTACCAAGTTCCTCTTGAATTCATGAAAGTGAAATTTAAGAGCTTTTGTGTGATTATGGCAAGCTTGCAAATTTCTCTACCATGCAACTCACGGTACCTTTTTTTTTTTTGCAGGTTGCTGCAGGATCAAAAACAGTTCTTGCCGTCGGACCCGGTAGATATACATCATCTTTTCCGGCCTAAAACTGACCTCTCTTAAAAAAGATTCTTCGTAAACCATAGTTTTAGCCGATTTTGATATAAAAGCAAAATTGTCTTGTCTAATAAAAAGTTTGAAGTGGTTAATAACGATGTAAATAGTTAGAACAAGGTGTTTACTATTTGAAAATAAAAAACGAGAGTTTAATAACCTGAAGCAAAAAATCTTAAAAACTGTAGTTTTATCCGATCTTGATAAAATTATAGTACAGACAGATGACTTGGTTGGGGACTCGAACTGGGTTGATCCTTTATAGTCAGATGACTTGGTTGTTGAACATATTTGTGGGTATTTTTCTGCAGGACCGAAAGAGTTGGTCGATTCAATAACCGGCAGGCTTGCCCTTCTCTGACGGTGCTTCCCTCCTTTCGGGGTTCGATGATATTCTCGGTTTTCGGATAAATTCTCGGGCGAGGCCTAGTTAATGTGGTCTGATCTGGTTTGGTTTAGGGGTTCTAGATTGATTGCAGAGGTGACCATAGTTCTCTGGTTTAACCCTATGTATGTGATACACTACTTAGTACACAATGTATATTTGTTGATTATGTCTGAAAATATTTCAAGATTTTAGAGTTGGTAATAAGTAAGATTGCCTTGAATTTGAATCTGTTAGACCAATATTTGCGGTTTTGTCCAAATTGTGACACGAGTTTCTTTTTTTTTTTTTTTATGGTTTAGAGTCTTTGTTTTTCGCGTTCTTGATTATCATTTCGGTTTGGTTACATGAATTCCAATGTAAACCGAATAACATGTAATTGTATCGCCAATTGAATATGATCTTTTTTTTCAATTAAATTAGTTGATACAAGGGAAACTTCCGAGCGAAGGAGAGGGTCTGAGAGTCCCGGAACGAAATCGAGGGTACGTACTGGAGCCGCGTTCGGTTTGGAAGAAGCTTTCATAGTTTCTGGATGGCCAAGAGACTTCCTTGATGGCAAATCTGAAAATTTGCTGAAGATTGGAAAATAACCGAAGTTTAAGAAAAACCAAGTGTAAACCAGGACTAGAACCTATTGAATTAAGGCCGGTATGGATCGGTTTTGGTACCAGCGGCCATATTCTTTCGGTTTCGTTTGTTTTTCTCTATAATTTTCCTCCAAGAACGTTAATAAATAAATAAATAAATAAAAACTGTGGAAAATATGTTCAACATGTTTCCTATTATTTCATAGAAATTCACCCTCAGGCATTTATATTTCATGTTACATGTTCTTCATGAACACAGTGAAGATCTATAGGGTTTATTCCGATTAGGGTTTGCTTATGTTTATATTCATTTCGTTTGGGTGTGTGTGTGTGTGTGTGTGTTTGCGTGTAGTGTACCTTATCCTCTGTTCTTTACATTTTTTTTTTCTTTTTGTTTTTGTATTGGTGACTTTGAGAATGGATTTGCTTTTGATACGTTCCTTCTTTTGAGTAACGTCGAAGTTTCCTCAAGATTTATGAACAATTCCGTGGACCGTCATAATTTCGCATTATTACATTTATACATTATATTTACACACATCATATATATATATATATATATGTTGGATGATATATTACACATATATAAACATGCACACATCATTACGATGTGTGTGTATATATATATATGTGCGTATGGGTGTGTGCGCCTAAAGCGCCATACCAATCTTAGTAAAATTTATGCTTCAAGAGATTTATGGGACGACCGACCTTGTCACATGATACGTGAGTATTTAGGCTTTCCATCCTCATGTAATTTAAAAAGTCAGTCAATTTTTCCATGTAAGAGATATTGAAATCGATCGAGAGCAAACCTTTTAATAGGATTAACAAAATACAAAATTAAATAAAGAGATTTTCGTATATATGGTTAATTATAGAAAGTTCATATATATAACAATAAATTTATATATTTTATACAATTAAAATACATCTCAACTCGGGCATACATTCAACATATTTGGAGATAAATAGATAAATACAATATGTATATTAATGTGCAATTTGTAGGCATATTCAACTTTACCCACATGCCCGTTTAGGTTTTTGCATGAGAATATTGCATGTGAGCACCGCAAGCTTTGCTTTGCATTCCCCTTATAATAAAAATTATTGAATTATAGATATACGACTTTTGTGCTGTGCAAATTTTGTTTTTATTCGTTTACGAAATTATAAAATTAAAGAATCTGATTTCCTGGAAAATTGTCAGATGAAAAATATGGAAATCAGCTTTAGAAAAATCCAATGTAAACGTTTAAATACTCAATAAATATATTGAATTTCAGTAAATAATTTCAAATTTAAGTATACAATATAATTGTCAAAAATAAATTAAACTAAGATTATACGGATTAGCATTCGTCTCGGATCTTGGTTTTCGGTGAATGACGTTATTACCCATGCGGACCTTTGATCATATGTGTAAAGAATAATATTATCTGATTTTATAATAGAAACTGTTATACGTCGGATCTTTATCAATTCAATAAAAATGATCAATCCATTTATTTCTAATATACAAATTAGTAGTAAATAATTTCAAATTTCATTTTAGCAGATACTCCGATGCGAGGGGATTTTGCAATGTCAAAGTTTATCCTCAAATTGAATTATTCAATTGATTGGTTGTTATATAATAATAAATATATAAATAAATTAATTGTTACATATAAATGCAGTAGAAGATATATATATATATATATATCAATTATTCTTTAAACATTTTGATTTTTTATTTTCCCGAACCGAATATCAAAATCAGAGTTATCACCTTATACAACTAGTCTTGATCAGAAGAAAATTAATTAAAATATTAAAATTAATGTCAAAGAAAAGATCCTAGGAAAAAACAGAAACGGACATTTCCCACGTGGAAAACACGACTTAGATCAGCTGTCCGAAATGCGGGCCCACATGCTGATGGATCAAGAAATCGTCACCGTTGGATCTGACGTCACCCATCAAGACCCTCTCGCGGCGGAGCTGAGTCAGCAACTCCTCCGTCCGACGCAGAACCACCGTATCCTTCTGCTGCCGGAGCTCGAGAACTTTCCGGTGAGAGTTCGAATGCTTCGTCATCACGAACGTGGGGCTGGCCGCCGGCCTGTACTCCGGCACGAGCCTGCCGGATTTGTACCGCACGCCGCAAGCGTTGCATAGCGTCTTCGGCCCCATCGGCCCCGTCCTCCACTGGGGCGTCTTCTCCGTCTCACAGTGCATACACCTCCGTACACTTCCCCCATCCGCGGCCACGGCCACGGCCGAGGAATCTTTTCTCCTGGCTTTCTTCTTATGACATACCACGTCAGTATCAGGCGCTACCACGTCAGCAACGTGGCTCGACCCGGTTGGCGAAAACGGGTTGTCCACGGCGAGGATAGAGGTGGACGGCCACGTGGATGCGGCGGCGCGTGATCTCTTGCTTCTTGCTCTGGCCGGGACGGGAGCGTCGTCGTTTTGGCTGATCACGGGTCCGGGTCGGGTTTGAGAAGAGGGGTCGGGTCGGGGATCTTTAAAACCGGACAATAAGTGGAGCTTGTCTTGGTCCTCGCTTGAGAAGGATTCTTCCACGAAATTCGATAGCCATTCTAGTTCCGCCAAATCCTCGCACTAATAAATTTAAAAAACCGTTTTTTTATTAAAAATAAATAATTGAAACCAAAACAAAGGTAACAAGAAAAAATGTTGGTAATAATTTACGTGATTTTTAGTAAAATCATAATCATTCCTAATTAATTTTCCCGACAAATCAAAACCGTAAATTCGGAGTACTAATAACACACTCATATAAGTCCGAAATTTATTGTAGAAAAATAAAACACAACTCTAGTACTATGTAATAACTAAATAACTCTATCCTCTGTTCATGCAAATTACGTTGCCCTAATTAAATATAAACTAATAACCATGGAAGGAACTGAACAAACATCGTAAGAAACGAATCCCAGAGACCCGTTTTCTATATTTGGAGCATAAAATTAGGAAAGAATTAATCAACGGGATTAATATAAAATATTAAACAAACGAATTTTACCGGAATTACGCAGAGGTCGCCGGAGATTTCAGCGGCGTCGGGGAAACTGCGCTCGCAGGCGGAGGAGGAGTTACAGCTATCGGCGACGACGGATGGGTCGTTAACGTCGTCAAAGGCGCCGTCATCGTCGCCGTTGGAGAAGTCGAGGAGGTCGTCGACGACGAAATGGTCGGGGCCGTTACCGGAGACGAGGATTTCGTCGTGAGTCTGCTGCTCCATCGGTGGGGAGAGATAGAGGAGAAAACGAGGGCTGGTTCCGTTATCCTCTGGGGACGACAGTGTTAGTGAGGAGAAATGAAAACGAGAGAGAGGTGTTTTCGGTTTTGTGTTTAGGAGAGTGAATTTAGAGAGAGAGAGAGAGAGAGAGAGCTAAAACGTAGGAACGTTGACGACTTGGAGTTACTATTAACAAAAAATAAAATAAAAGACTTTACTTATGGTGCTCATTTTATCTTTAATTTTGCAAAATCCAATTAAAATAATATATGCCCTGTAATTGAAATCGATTTAATACAAAAAATATCAAATGATATAATTTTTTAAAATTGAAAAATTCAAATATGAATTGAATATGATATACTCCGAAATTCAAAACATCTAACTTCTAATGATAAATCGATTGATCTGATCATCTTTTTTTCAATTGGATTTGTTCCAAATTTATTTCACTTCTATCGACACTGAATAAATCTTTATAAAGTCGGATTTATTACATCCAAACCAAACTAAAAAAATGTCGGAATTTAAACCAATATATTCGGATAAAATTTTTATGAAAACATGACTAATAAAATAATGGATTGAAATTAATTCAGATTATTCGATATTTATAAGAATTTTTCCAGGAAATCTGAACCAAAACCAAATTCATTAGGTTTTCGTATTGATGAAGAATGAAATTGTATCTTATGAATATACATGCAACGAATATTATATTTTATTTTCATGGACTCCCAATTTGATTATTAGTCATAGATATCATTCCTGTATTTCTATGCATTAGTTTATATGATTACATGTTTAAATTATTTGAATTATTTTTTTTTGTCTTTTTTCTTAATCCAGCGTACTATACTCCTACCTCAAATTGTAACATTCTATCATTTTTCTTGCAAAATACTTTAGAATTTAAGAAAAACTATAAATTCTATTTTTTTTATATATGACAAGATACCAATTTCAAATAAAAATTGCATATATTTAAATAGCATAAAATCCGTTGGGCGAATTTTAATGAGGGAAAATTAAGTCAACTAACCATATGATCGAACCTAGTAAAAGCATAATTATCTCAACTAATCGGTTGATTAATTTGGCTACCGAATAATAAAAATAAATTTTAAAAAGAGAACGCTTTCCTTGGAAACAGTGAGCAATCTTTTTTAATCTCAGCAATGGGTGCATTGCATATACACACACATGGCTGCGGTTAATAATTACTATGCGACCCTCATCATTTTGTACCGTATATTTTCTCGTATATAATTATTTCTATATACAATTAAAAATCGAGGTTTAACGAAAATCTAAATCTAAATTATACTAATACATCATTTTCAAATTCTGCGTATTATGTAATATTTTAATTAGTGATGGACATTTTGAATCAAAACTATTTTGTATTTTTTAGTTTTTTTAACTGTACATATACAATTTTCATATAATATTTTATTCCCCGTTTGGTACTTAATTTCTATTAAAAATATTTATTTTCTAAAACTTTGAACTATTCTTATATTTAATTTTATACGAAAAAATTAATTTATCAATAATTATGTGTAATCAATTTTAAATTAAATTAAATTAAAATACAACTATACGTTATTTCGCTAAATCTCCATTTTATATAATTCCATATTAAATGTTCACCGATATAAATATTCACGTGGGAACTGAAAAAAAAAATTAAAAGAGCAAGAATCCGAGCCATTACTTCTTTCAAAGTCTTTGATTTCTTTTCCCTTTTATCTTTTGTAACACTTCACTTTTCTTTTCTTTTCTATTCGGATATCCATAATTAATAAGGTGATAAATAAATAAACAAATAGTATTTTATCTCTTTAATCGTGGGACCGTCCGTGGCACGTGACGGAGCAGTCGGGCGGTGTCAGCGACTCAGTGAGCCATGTGAGTGGGTGGCTCGAGTTGAAAAAAAAAGGGAAAATAAAATATGTCTGCCACGTGGCAAAATCTGACTGCGTCATGTTACGAAACACGATCCGTCCGATCAATCATGCTGGATCATCACGTGATTTGGATGCACCTCACGTGCATTTACATGGAGAGCAAATTTCGTCGTCGGTCGGTTCTTGAAGAGAAATTGCACAAGCAGCATGAGATCCTTGTTTATATGATAAAAAATGTTTAATTATTATTTTTAACTATTATTAAATGTTTAAGGATATGTTTTCTGTATTAGAATTACTTCGACATATTCATTTCTATTCATATAATTCACATATTCTCGTTTCGGAACTATGTCAATTACAAACCAAAATTCTTTTTTTTTTTCAAATCTAGATTGATCATATAATCTTTCAAATATCAGAATTTTAGATATTTAATCCAAAATGGTGTCGAACTCGGTTTGATTTATCCTCACAAAATTTATATTAAAAAAAGGGTTAAAGTGAAATTTAAATATTGAAAAATAACTTTAGTATCCAGACTAAAAGAAGTGCTCCAATCACAAAATTTGGATGAAAAGAAAATTAAAAAAAAAAAGAGTTTGGGCCATGGCCCAATACATATTTTACTGCATAGACCCATTATAAAAGGCTAAGGCGGATGCATCTCACATTTGATCGAGTTTAATGGGCTTTTTACTTCGTCATTTCATTTTCTTTTGAATTACAAAATAGTCTTACCTGTTTTTTTTTTTTTTCCTTCAAACGTAGGAGTTTAAGCCTTATGAGATGAGTCTCGGCCACACAACTCCTATTGAATCTGCCTGTAGAACATTACAGATTCGAGTAGGAGGGTTGCTAATAATATGAAAACCTCTGGCAATATCTATTGCTGCTTTAGCCAACTGGTTTGCAACTGAGTTTGCTTCACGGAATATTTGTTTCACTTCCACTTGCCAATCACGATTCAAAAAGACCTGACATTGTCCCACCAGACTACGGATTCGAAAAGAAATATGGTGTTGAGAATTGATTAATAAAGTCGTGACATTTGAATCTGTCTGGACTTGAATCTTACGCCATCCTTTATCCCATGCAATCTTTAGAGCATCCAGCACTCCCCAAACTTCGGCTTCAAGAGAGTTACAACTTCTCAAACTGTGTTGGAATCCATGAATCCAATTGCCAGTTGCGTCTCTAAATACACCAGCACAACTCGCTTTCCCTGTAGCATTCACACTACCATCTGTGTTCACAACAACTGTATCAAACGGTGGAGGCTCCCAAGTAATGAACGTTAACCTTCTATTTCGATTATGTCCGACAACCTGCTTTTTAGACCACGCTTTCTGAATTGCCCCTTCGCAAACTTGCAGAATCAACATGTACTCCATTAAACACCAAATCATTTCGATTCTTCCAAAAGTACCATAAGGCTGCTGCAAAAATAATATCTCATGCTACACCATATACTTGCACTGAGAGACATTTTAAGTTGGAAAGAATCCAACCTTTGGTATCCATCAATTCAAAGAAATTTGGTGGCACACCAGGAACTATGAGAAGCTCCCAAACATCCTTCACCAGCCTACAATCACGAAGTAAATGTCATGGTTCAATAGTATATTGGAAAAAAAGGTCATATTTCAAATACAAACATAATATAAAAAAATATATATTCAAAATCAAATACAAACATAACAAAAAACAAAATAAAATAATACACAAAATTATAAAATTACTGATAAAGATATCAAAGTAAAATTATAGAATCATCATTTTTATTATTAACAATTTGTTTTGATAAAATAACGGATATTGAAATATAAAAATTAATAGAAAAAAAATTAGATTTAAAGTTAATTAAGGCTCAACTTTTTTTTTTATAACTAGAAAGTTCATATAGCCTTCGATTCGACTATATCTCTCACGGTCCGGGAGTAGTCTTTAAAGTATATCTAAGGACTCAGAGCAACACCTTAAATACACCCCTCCCTTCCCAACAGGTGGATTTGAACTGGTGATCGGAGTCCTGAAAGCAACACCCTTTCAACCATTCGTCCACTACTTACGGCTTAATTAAGGCTCAACTTGCCGGAGGCTCAACTTGTCGAGTGGTCCGTGGTTCATCCCATTTCGTGGCTCGTCTGTCCATTTTCCATACGAATCCAAATATATTTAAATCCGAAACGATCCACGAACGATTAGTGCATTATACGCCTTTAATAGAGAAAGCTAATATATCTTATTATCTTGTTTAATTATGGAATATATCTTGGAGGAGAAGATGACATTAATCAATATACATGTATATATGTATATATATATATATACAGTGGCAGATCTAAAGAATTCTATAACGGGGCAATTTAGTTTTTATTTATGATCAAACTTAATTTTATATGGGGTCATTTCATAGTTTTACTCAAAATTTTACAGATTTTATATAGAAAATAAAAAATTTAATTGATTGAATGGGGGCACGTGCCCCCATACACTTACACTTACATGTAGATCTGCCACTATATATATATATATATATATATATATATATATATATATAAATATATATATAAATGAATTTATTCAAAAATCATGATTAAGTTTTGTTATGATTATGAATTTCATGATTGTTAATGGAGAAATAATTTAATATCAAAACTCATTTTCTGATTGCTTCGATTGCGAGTAACTACTTGAGATTACTTTTTATAATTAATTAAAAAAATTATGACAACGCTTAATATACTTGGTTAAATGATGATGTTGATGAATATATGTTATAGAAATCTAAAAAATTTGAAAAAGAAAAGTTCGAAAAAAAATGGTATGAGTATAATGGAAGAATCTCTTTTATGTTTCTTACCTTCCATATTTCAGGTGATCATTATTAAAAACTAAATCAAAATTTATTTCGAGCACTGCAAAGGTTAAAATCCCACTTAGAGATGCATATTATGCATTTTTATTTAGTTTTTATCCACTTATTTTATTTTTAAACAAATATTATATCCATCCCATTCTAATATCTGTTTCAGTCGAATTCTTTTTATTTTTATTTTTACTAAAATTATTTATTGTCTATATAGATTTTAGTTTTCATTAGATATTTAATTATTTTTTATATTTAGATTTAATTTCTGCTGTATTTATTTAATTTTAAAATTTTATATTCGTTAATTAGTTTTTAAATATAACTTAGTTTGAACACAATTACATATAATATCTCATTCGGATTGTTTTTAAATATCAAAATAAATGGTTTCTATTTATTTCCAAAAAAAAAAACTTTTATTGCCCACTATATCAGACAGATGCCAAGATACTAACCTTAAATTTAAAAACAAAAACCAACTTTAACCCAAAAACAAGCAAGTAGGAACCGATATGTGATTTAAATATTATAAGGACAATTTATGCCAAAGCAAATGCTTCGTTATATTTATATGTTCAATAAATTTGCTAATTATATATATATATATATATATATATATATGACACGTGCCAATCGTAGAAAAATCTTCTGAAGTATGTCAGTTCTCATATATAATTTCATCTTTTTAAGTTAATTGCCCATTGGTGATGACAATTTTATTCTACTTCTTCGTATGTATATATATATATATACACTAAAAATTATAATATATAATCACTGTTATTTATTAAATCTGTTGTTATTGTATTAGAAATAGATTAATCAAGACACAAAGAAATACCAACATATCTAATTATTGGTCACATCGACACATAAAAAAAGAAACTACATACATCAATTTTTTTATTATAAAAAAACTGATATAATTTGTCATATATATTTAATTTTGAACAATCTAAAATCTACCCTCTTATCTCTTATATAAGCCTATCGTTATAAAAATAATTTATAAATATAATTCCCGTTTTTTCTGTATAATTTAAAATCGAAGGTAAAATGTATATATTTAAAGTAAACAATCATACAATTGAAAAATCATATGAAGGTCCTTGCTCGCGAAGGTGTGAAATTGGAAAGTGGAAGGGTTACTACTACTTTTTCCTGGCCCCATGAGAGAAATTCTCTTTAGCTTTTATTTTTCTTTGAACATATCCTTACACATTTGTTTATTAATTTTTATTATAAAGAGAAAGCATAATTTTAAAATAATGACATTTGTTTTTTGCAAATTATTGAGCAGTTATTGTTCATGCGATAGTCCTAGACATAATAATTATCTTGTTATTTATTTATATAAGAAATCTTAAATTAATAGCTTCTTTCTGGTAAAAATCAAGCATATCATGGAAAGGTTAGGTAATTCCAGTGGAAAGTTACTTTGTTTTTTAGTTTAAGGAGAGAAATGGTGTGAATTGAATTATCCTCATAATAAAATATATTATTTGTTAGAAGGGGAAAAAATATTTTAATTATGATGAAGCTCATCTATTTTCAACTATTAATAAAATATATTAATCGAAATAGGACAAAGAATTAAATTGGAATGAATTCGAATTAGAAAAACAAGAAGATACTCATCTATTTCAACAAAAATAAAATGATTTTTGAAAATATAAAAATTGAAATTAAATAGTTTTGGTCAAAGTGATTTTTTTTAATTTAAAATTTTAAAATTAAATGATCTAAATAATATATACTTATATTCGAATTGAATTTGTGTAAAAATTATTTGAATATAATATTTAGAAGAAATCAAGTGGGTACTAAACTAATTACGTCCGGAAAAAAGTGTTGCACCACCAGGATCCAAATAAAACTAATTTAATATGAAAGCTGCTATGATTACACCACTAAATAAATAATATCAGACCAAATAAATTCATTTTCCGTATCCATCTTCGATCGATAAAAAATTCAGAGCCATATTATTCATTTTTTTTAAATACAAAACACATGTTGCAGCATTTCACATTAGTCACTATCTTCGATTATTATAAATTCTTATAGATAAATAATAGCTGTAATATAATTCCGTTATAAAGCCTGCAATAATTACTTTTACGTCGGTTTCATTAATTTAATCCCATTTTAATTTTTCCCTTTAAATCCCATCTCTTCAAACCCGAAAATCCTCCCCCCCCCCCCCCCCCCCCCCTTCCCCCCATTCCCCTTGTTGGGAATGAGGAAAATCGGGGAATGAGAGAAAAACGAGATTGTTTGGGTTTCGCATTTTTGGTTCGCGGCCAGACC